CACCCATTATCCATCCATCCATCCATCAGTCTCATTGAGCCTTGGTACTTATTTCTCTAGGGGATGGACATAGAAGATAACCTACCAATAGCAACTCTAGGATTCAGCTCGCCTGCCATCGACCGYGAGGAACCTCTTTCGTTTGGTACTCTCTTGGCATGTTTAAATATGTGCCTTACCAACCTCAGTCCGGTAWATACACCATTAGATCTGAGTGTTGAATCAAATGTATAATAACTGTGTAAAACTTTCGTTTCGTGACGTGACGTGGTATGGCGTACCATGATGTGACTTACCGTGAAGTGCCTTGACGTGCCGTGCCATGATGTGACGTGACGTGACTTGTCATGATGTAACGTGCCATGACGTGACGTGACGTGCCGTGCCATGATGTGACGTGACGTGACTTGTCATGATGTAACGTGCCATGATATGACGTGCCTTGACGTGCCGTGCCATGATGTGACGCGACGTGACGTGCCGTGCCATGATGTGACGTGACGTGACGTGCCGTGCCATGATGTGACGTGACGTGACGTGCCGTGCCATGATGTGACGTGCCATGATGTGACGTGCCATGATATGACGTGCCATGATGTAACGTGCCATGATGTGACGTGACGTGACGTGCCGTGCCATGATGTGACGTGACGTGACGTGACTTGTCATGATGTGACGTGCCATGATGTGACGTGACGTGACGTGCCGTGCCATGATGTGACGTGACGTGACGTGACTTGTCATGATGTGACGTGCCATGATGTGACGTGCCATGATGTGACGTGACGTGGCCATGCTGTGCTATTGTGCGTGACAGCATTTTAAGTCGTGCTTGGTTGAATGGACAATCTTTTAACAGTCTTGTAACGTGTCCGTGTTGTTTTTGTTTCAGGGTGATGTGCGGTCTCCTGTCAAATCCCCTGTCAAGACTCTATCAGAAACCCTTCCCAAGTAAGTCCTTCAACCTCTTCTATATCACATTCTGGTTGGATGACCAGATTTCACGTACCGTGATTGGCCCAGTGATGTTGATCTTTGACGTTACCGTGACGTCACCATGTCTGAACATCCTGTTTAACAAACTCCATCGTTGATTCAACAGATTTCTCTTAATGTTTGCTATGGAGAATGCATTGGTCTTGGCATTGTCACAGGCGTCCCGTTATCTTCGGGATCCATCAGTTGACCCGCGGGTCAAGCAGCTTCTAAAGAGAGAGCTTGGAAGCGAACTGGTAGGTATTGGTAATTAGAGTACGTAATTCCAGTCACCTTATAGCAATCTTATGTTACGTTGCGTGACATGATAATTGATTGCGTGAACTTGTGTCATGCGCAGACGTTGTGTGCGCCTTGCTTGAAATCCTTGCTTTATATTATCTTAATTATAATTATAATAATWATAATAATAATAAAGATAATAAATAAAGATATCGGTTATTGGGTATATCTTATAAAGGCGTTATTTTTCATATCTGGCCGCTATTTTCGTATAAACATGCGATGGATGTAAAAGAACCACTGAGGACGTAAAGAAACCCTGGCAGTGACCACCATCAGTGTCTACACTTCATACTAACCATCTCTCATGCTTGTAAATTGCATAAAAAGAAGTCTGAAATTCACAACTCAATAAAAAGCACCTTTGATCATACCGGTATAGATTGGACTTCATATTAAATCATCGATCACTATCATTAATATTATATTAATGTCATTAATAATTCTAGGGTCATTTCCTGGGTGGCCTAAACCGCCATTTTGTAAGGCGTGGTCTCCCTCCTTCACCATTAAGCGACCGAGCCAGCCCGAGTACATCAAGTAAGAAGACACCAACAAAGCACCCTGCATTCAGCGAAGTACCAGAACAAAAGTTATTCAAACTAGCAGACTTGTATGTTAAAAAACTACTGCGGTAAACGAAAAAAAATAGATATCATATATAAGTTGACTGTCAGCACACGGTGTGATGCACGCTTCCTACATGAGATAGACGACTAGGTCATAAAGGCTGTTGTGAACAAGGAATACTCGATGGTGAATTCTCCAATACCTGAACAACTATCTTTTCCGAGGTTGTAAAAAAGACTTGGTCAAGTTGTCATTGCGTTGCATTGTGGGACTACTTTAGGGAAAATTTTTCGATGATGTAGTTTATTTGGCGCTCTGAAATACTCCCACAATGCACTGCAGTGTCCACTCGACCCATTTCCCTCTCCACCTCAGAATAGCTGATATAGATTTGTTTTTTATGTTGAAGAGCCTGCACTCTTTGTTCTACAACGAAGGAATTTCAACCAATTCAGTTTATTTTCTTATTGGCTACTTTAGAATTCCCAATAAGATATTATTATAAATATATCTAAGACTCTGTTGAATGAACCAAAACAACTTGCTTTACATAAATAAAACTTTCTATAAATCAATCATTTTCTCATCAATATTATAGGTT